CAGTGGTAAAGAATCTGCCTGCCAGTGCAGGAGACATGAGTTTGATCCCTGATTTCTGAGCATATATGAATCTCCATCAGTCAGTTCAGTTCAGTTCAGTCTCTCAGTCATGTCCGACTCTTTGTGACCCCATGGACTGCAGCATGCCAGGCTTCCCTGTCCATTACCAACTCCCGGAGTTTACTCAAACTCACGTCCATTGAGTCAGTGATGCCATCCAACCATCTCATCCTCTGTCATCCCCTTCTCCTCCTGCCTTCAATCTTTCCCAGCATCAGGGTCTTTTCAAATGAGTCAGTTCTTTGCATCAGGTGGCCAAAGTATTGGCGTTTCAGCTTCAGCATCAGTCCTCCCAATGAATCTCCATAGGAGTTTTTAAGTTCTCTAAGAATCTCAAGGGTTCAGAATCATTCCGAATTCAAGAAAAGCAGTCCATTTTGTCAGTTTCATCACACCATAGGTTTCTTCTGTGAAGCCAAGCAGGGCAGTGTTTGGTTCTGAGCACGTGTCTCTGACTCTGAAGCAGTTCAAAATCTTGTGGAAGCCAGAGGACTAGGCGAGACTTGGGCTTGGACGGGGCTTCTGGGCAGCTCCAGGGGAGCTTAGAGGAGATGCCTGCTGGCTTCTCGCCACCAGCGAGCTGTGTGTGTGTCACATATCCCGAAAGAAGGGCGTGCACTGCTGCCTGGGCTACAAAGGTGAGACCATTTCAGTCTTGGGAACAGCCTGGTCATCCATCTGTGTCAGCAAAGCAATAACTTTACTTCAGAGCTCTGGAAGGAAAGAAGCTTGAGGCAAGTTTTCTTAGCTCTGATTTCTGTAACTATTTTCCACTGAATAAAATCCAGCCCACCTCTGTTGTTTTCCTTCATCTCAAACTTGCTCGGTAATCCCCCTTATAATTGATGGACTTCTGTTTTCCTCCTGGCTAACCTTATCTTCCCTTTGCATTCATGGTTTCCGTAAGCCATAATGAGTCCAGTTTTATTATTTATTATCCACGTGAACTTGGGTAGGTTTTTTGAACCTCTGTGTGTCTAAGTCCAAATTAAAAAGGGCATCATGGTACCTATTTGGCAGGACTGTTGAGACTCCTGGCGCAATACTGACTAAATGACAATTTTTAGCATATTGGAATCTAACAGTTGTAGTACACCTAATTTAATGATTTGGGGAAAATACCCATCTAAAACACGCTAGCCTTACAATTGTCTCCTTCAACTCCAGAAAAGATCACTTGTAATCACCAACTAAACTCTAAGACTGTAACCTGGACCCTGTCAGTGCATAGTCAAGCACCTCTGAAATATATAATTGCCCATGAAAAAGATATATGTAGTCTTTTGAGAAAAGCTGCATCCCTTTCCAAGTATATCATCTTAAAATCATGTTGTCTCTTCACTCGTTTTTTTTTCTAAAATCCTTTGTACCCTAATACATCTCTTTCTTTCTCCATATATATATACACACACATATGTGTATACATTTAGGTATATAATATAAAATACATATTTGTATCTGTATATACTATACTGTGCTCACACATCTAATTTTTAGCAACTAGAAGAGAATGAAGTTGCTTGAAGACCCTAGGCCCATGGGAATCTTATCAAATGGAAATCAAACTCAACCTTTTTTCAACCATTTAAAGGAAATAATTAAGAGATTAATCTAATCCAACTTTTTTCATTGACTAGAATGGGCAGAGTTTAGAAGAAAACCCATGAAGAAATAATGTCCTCACTCTGAGGAGCAAAATGATGATATTACTTTCAACTTTAGTATGCTTTCACTCCTTTTAATTACCTGTAATGCATATTATAGTTCTCCACATTATTTTCCATGCTGCATTAATGAATTGACACATTGGAAAACAGAATCACAAAGATTTTTAATGCCTCACCCAAGATCTCAGAACAGCAGTGAAACTCCATTTTCTTTTTTTAGTTTCTTTTCAACAGCTTTCCTCTTTCTGACAGCTAATTCATATATCATCTTCTCTGGACAAACATGGCAAATATCTGGTTTGAGAAGTAAAATAATTTAAATAGATTGTGGTGACCTTAGGCCAATTCTGAAGCTATAGAACTTTATATTATTACTTTTCCATTTCATTTTCTCACTCATTTATTCAACTGGGGCCAACTGTGTTCAGTATGAGTTACTTGTTGCCATAAAGAAAGGAGAAATTTTTAATATAATGAGACCATTGTTAAATTCTGTTATTATGGCATTTTTTAGCCTATTAAGAAAAAAAATATGAGCAGGCCAAAATTAAGATTAGATTTTTCTTTGTCTTGTCTTCCCTCTTATTTTCTCCCTCACACCTTCATCATTAATATATCCATCTATTCAAAAAGTATTGTGCAATTACTAGGTAGCAGGCCTTTTCTTAGGCACTGGAGGTCGTATCCCTCACAAGGTTTCTACTGACCTGGAGGATACAGTTTACTGAACTATCCCATGCTTCTGGCCCTTTCCCAGCTGGCTTGGTAGTACAGAATCCACTTGCCAGTGCAGGAGATGCGGGTTCAATCCCTGGGTTGGGAAGATTCCCTGGAGATGGAAATGGCATCCAACTCTAGATTCTTGCCTGGGAAATCCCCTGGACAGAGGAGCGTGGAGGGCTGCAGTCCATGGGGTCACAAAGAGTCAGACATTACTGAGTGACTGGGCACACACACACCCATTCTTCTACCACCACCATCATAGTGCACACACACACACAGGCACACACATGAATGCAGTGTCTCAGATGTTACCTAAGTTGTCTTTGGTAGAGGAGGTCCTATGAATTTTTCACAAACATTGGTCTAGTAACAACTTGCAGTAGCATCACTCAGTCTTCTTAAATAAAAGTATATCCTGGAGCCCCACTCAGATCTACTAAATGAGTCTCTGGAAATGAAGTCTGAAAGCTCTTATTTTTAAAAAGCTTCCAAGTAATCATGGTGCAGAGCCAGATAGGATCAACCACTCTTACACTGTGAACCTGGCCATTACTACCGTTATCAAAACTCACTTGTCCTGTTCTTGGTGAAATGAACCTGTCAAAAGAACTCATTGATAACTGCTAATTGTTCAGCATTCCTTTAAGGAGAATTTGCATTTGAAAAAGAGACACTTGAGGACAAGTGTCTTACACTGATGGAATAAATATGTAATGTGGATGTTTCAGGAACTGTAGTGTCAATAAAGATGAATACTCAGGCGAAGCCAACATTACCCATATGCCTTCAAATCCACCACAGAATGGGTACAGCCTCCTATTTACAAAGTAGGATTACATATTAAAGGGAAAAAGTGAAACTTGTATGAATTTACAAATCAATCACTTTTATTACTAAAGCTGTGGTGTATAATGGAAGGAAGGGAAATAGTTGGTCAAGTCCATTAAGATGAAGTGGTTGAGTCACTGCAAAATACATTGAAATGCGGTTGATGAGTCATGCTCTGTCTCACTTCTCCAGGGAGACAGCTGCTCACCATTAATGACCAACAACAGTGAGGACTGATCCATCTGCCCTGTTCTGGCCCCGGGGAACACACCACCTGTTCAGCTGAGCACGACTGCTTCCCTAAATCAGCCTCAAAACGAAGCCTCTTGTTTCTTTCAAAAAACTGTTGGGCTTTCTGAGCCAGAATGGAAATAAGGTGTAGCTTTTATGTAGAAACATCAAGCGATTCAAAAGCCTTTGTTTGTCCTCCCTGGTTAGTGTTCGGAATTACTCAGAAGAAATAGCGCTGTCACTGTGAGGTGAAAATCTTTGGCAGAATGCAAATTGTTAACTCAAGTGTTCTGTGTTAATAAAATGCTTTCAGATTCATTGGAAGTTAAATGTCGCTGGATCTATGCTGACAAACACCCGAGGGAAAAGCAATGCATTTGGAGTGTGAATCTGATGTAACCTTCCTAGTCCTAGGGAAGTAAGAGAATTCAGTAAATACAACCAAGAAAATTGCTCAAAAACTTTGAGCTTCTAATTTTCACTGGATGTTTAAGTTTATGCTGTACAAAACAGCTGACTCTCACTATTTTACTTTTTCTTATTCACTCTAAGTTTCTTACCTTTTCTGGGAGTAAATGTCTCATTTTTTTTTCCCCTTTACAGATTTCTGTTACTGTTTTTACTCATGTTATCCTCCCAGCTAATTTATCTCACAAAATTATCCATGTTAGCAAAGTCACAAACACCCTTCATGACCTTGGCTGGCTGGCTGGCTCTTCTCTCTTGTTGTTCAGTCGCTCAGTCGTGTCTTAGTCTTTATGATCCCATGGACTATAGCCCATCAGGCTCCTCTGTCCATGGAATTCTCCGGACAAGAATACTGGAGTGGGTAGCTATTCCCTTCTCCAGAGGATCTTCCTGACCCAGGGATCGAATCCCAGTCTCCTGCATTGCAGGCAGATTCTTTACCATCTGAGCCATTATGAAGCTAAAATTTAGTAAAAATAATGTACACTGTACAAGTCTTGGTATACTCAACATGGTATTTTGTAATACTAAAATAGCCTTCAATATCTGCAAAATACTGTGGAGATTTTACTCTATCTATAAACTAATAAGTTAGTCTACCTACCACAGTTTCATGAATCTTGGAAGAAGACATGAGCTTCTGGGTCAGAGACAGAGGTATTTATTACCATAGCACAGCAAGGAAGCGTGAGCATGTGCATAGTTGTAACAGCTCTCCTTACCCCACAAATACCATGGAGATATTGCTGATGTGCCCAGGGGGATGCTTGTACATAGACTCAAGAGTAATCTGCACTTAGGGAACTCAAGTCTTTCCTAATGGGTAATAAGCATGCCTGACCTTTGCCTAAAAAAGAGATTATGCTTATCACACTGGACACTAAGCATGTCTACTTTTTGCTCCAGAACAAAAGTTAGTTAGTACCTCTGCATCCAAGATAGACAGACATGTAAGAGATTCATGGAAAGCTGTCACTATATTAACTTCTGAAGAATTTTCTCTTAACTACAGCACTGTGTCAACCACTCCGATAAAGATGACCAGCAGAAACTGAAACTACATCTATTCATCTCCAACAACCTTTCTTGAAGACTGCTGGCAACGTGATCTCAGATATCAGGGTGAAGCCAACTTCAGGATTGTCCTCAGGTATCCCTCTGTCCCCCCAGGGTCACAGACCCAACTGAACAGATCCTGCTATTGTCTACCTTGGAAATACAGGTAGCTTTCTCTTTAGGTTGTGTAATTGACATTTCCACTGGGCCTGAGATAGTAATCCAGGCACCACAGGAAATATTAGTTTATTGCACAGACTCTATCTTGGCCATCTAGGAGGAAGTCTAGGGCAATTCTATCACCATTACCTTCCTGACCAGTGAACTGAGGATGGTTTGATGACCTTCCTAAGTCAAAGTGATGTATTAAGTTAGACAAAATCAGGGACAAATGTAGTAATACCCGTTCTAACTGGAGGATTCCCATTGTAAGAGTAAGTGCTTATAGGGTAAACATAAATTACGGTATATGTGGGTAAGATGTGGGTAAGTTATACTTATGGGACTCTTTCCTCAGTAAACCAGGTCAGCCTCATTTTTGAGAGATGTTTGGAGTCATCTGAGGCCTCTGTGATCTATTGGTTGTATTTCTGTGAGCACCCCTAGAATGCAAACCACATTTTGAGGAAGAAGTGAAGATAAGGACTGGCCTCCATACAAGACTTAGCTTTAGGAGTACACATAGCATCCTTGGAAATAAAGCATTGTTTACAATTGTTGGTGCCCCGTAGGGAGTTGGGGAGGGGCAGGTGGACGGCCTCCAACATGGCATTCCAGTCTGCTGGTAGGCTGTGGAGTCTCGGTTCAGTCTGAATAACTGAGGCTAATCTTTGTCTTTGGAGGTATCTATAAGGGTTATAAGTGCAACTTATCCTGATTGTTGATGCCATCCCCCTGGTGGCATTCATGTGCCTCATAGAATGATTGATGAATGGCTTTGGAAATGGGTATGGAGGGAGCATCCAGAAGATGCCAGAGTGAGTCATTTCTGCCTTGTCCCTGTTCTCTGAGGAGAAGGCTGTCTATATTTTACATCTATCTATCCATCTATCTACCTATCTCTCTATCATCTTTCTGTCTACACTTTATCAGACTTATGGGGCTTCCCAGGTAGAGCCGTGGTAAAGAATCCACCTGCCAATGCAGGAGACGCAAGAGATGCAGCTTTGATCTATGTGTCAAGAAGATCCCCTGGAGAAGGAAATGGCAATCCACTCCAGTAGTCTTGCTTGGGAAATCCCATGTACAGAGGAGCCTGGCGGGCTACAGTCCATGGGGTCGCAAAGAGTCGGACACGACTGAGCGACTGAACACACAAATACCATCAGGCTTAAGAAAATAGGAGGATAGGAAGTTGGGATTCTTTCCTTACCTCAAACCTAGCAAGACTTGTTTAATGGAAACGCTGAGAGTGTAATATGTGAACCAGTAACTGCAGTGATATTGACCTGCAGTCTAGAATTTGTTCAGGAAAAGAGTATGTGTTTTATATGGACCAGGTATAGATCTCTTGCAAAAGAGTGTGAAATTGTATTGATTTCTTTTCAGTGAAGTCACGGGAAGAGGTGAAGCTGACTTAACTTAGAGAAAATGAGTGTTATTGAATTCATAGGGGCTAATACAGTATTAACTGACCAGATAAAACTGGAATGCAGCTTACTACATTAAGGACCCTGCAGGTTACAGAGCCCTGGTGATGGGAGAAGGTCTTTTAATAAACTAAGGTGGAATTGCTTAGAACTAAACATATTTAATTGTTGCATTAAGATTGTGTTCATTATATTCAGTAACGGTGAGATTTTCTACTTTATAAGACTGACCAGAGGATTATTTAGCCTGAGTAAGTTTTCACACAGGAGCAAAAGAAAAACAGTCCCAATGTGCAAATCTAAAGAAGCAAAATGAAGTTATTTGCTGATTGTATCTATAGAGTTATGTTTTTATAGCATTCTACTTAACATACAATTACATAATGTACTGTGCAATCTACTTAAGATAAATAGGACTTAATACATATTACATATTATTTATATGTGGTTTATATGTGTCATATATTGGTATTGAGATAGCTTCAAATTCCTCCCCCTTAAAAATTGATGAAAACTTTAGCCAGGGAGGGTGAAGAAAATTATCTATATTCTCATTCAGTCTATATGCTGTTTCCTCCCTTAACCTTTTTTTTTTTTGCTTCACACACTTAGATTTATTGGAGCTTTTCATTCTAATTGCAGAGAAATTAGTCTACACCACACCAGTGATTTTTCAAACATTGTAAATAAATAACCAAGGGTATTGTCTGACTTAAAATTGCCCCCCCCCCCACCCCGCCTTTGGTACGCACTGAAAGATTCCTACTGCTTGCTACTTATTACCCTTAAATGAATTTTATCTCCTTTTGTGTGGCTCAGTGACAGCCTATTTTCTCTGATCTGAAAAATTTGAGTTTTATGTCTGTGCCCTCAGTTCAGCCCCTCCTGTCAAATGCTATGTTCTGCATCATGAAGTGGGTTTTATAGCCCCATTTTTTTGGCAGAAAGAGTAAGATTGGAATTTGAGCTTCTAACAGTAATTGATTGACAGTTGTGGTCACCTTGGAAAGTCCTATGCGACTCCATTTTAAACTGTGGTATGTTGAGATTCTATTAATTCATGAAAAATAGTAATAATTTTCTTCTCCATGTGGTTTGTATTCATCATGATCATATGTTCATTCTCACACTTCCCAGAATACAGTTTCTTTGTTTTCTACACTGACTCCATGCACAGTGATGTTAGAAAAAGATACTTAGTTTTAAAATATAAAGGTGCTTTTCAAACAGGTAAGTTTCTTTCTACAAGGAGAGATAATTGTTGCATATGATTTAAATTTAATTTAATTTTTAATTGGAGGATAATTACTTTACAATGGGCTTCCCCTGTGGCTTAGCTGGTAAAGAATCCACCTGCAATGAGGGAGACCTGGGTTCGATCCCTGGGTTGGGAAGATCCCCTGGAGAAGGGCCCAGCTACCCACTCCAGTATTCTGACCTGGAGAATTCCGTGGACTGTATAGTCCATGGGGTCTCAAAGAGTCAGACATGACTGAGCGACTTTCACTACTGTACAATATTGTGGTGGTTTCTGCCTTTCGTCAGTCAGCATGAATCAGCCATAGGTGTATATATATATGTGTGTGTCCCCTCCCTCCTAAACCCCCTCCCGTCTCCCACCCCCCGCTTCTCAGCTGTCACAGGGCGCCAGCTTTGGGTTCCCTGAATCATCCAGCAAATTCCCACAGCCATCTACTTTACACACATGCTTTAAGAAACCCCCGTCCCAAGACTTGATTTCTGAAATAGACGAACTAGAGAAGTGTTTTTAGATTTTTTCATATTAAGTAGTTTTTTTTATGTGATTTTCTGGAGCTTTTTTTTTTTTTTAATTGGGATATAGTTGCTTTACAGTGTTGTATTAATATTAGTTTCTGCTATACAACAAAGTGACCTAAATGCAAGAGGAAAACAAACATAGGAAGACCACTCTTAGACATAAATCACAGCAAGATCTTTTTTGACCAACCTTCTAGAGTAACAACAATAAAAACAAAAATAAACCAATGGAGCCTAATTAGTTTTCAAGTCATTTGCACAGCAAAGAAAACCTGCAGTTTCTTAAGTTTCGTTCAGTTTTATACAGTGTCCAGTAGGAGTTCAGGCCGTGAGGCAGATGCTGAAATGATGATGAACTGTCGGTCTCAGAGTTCTTGCTGATCTCGCCTCCTGGTCATGCCTGAGTGCAGCCCTGGGGAGCAGGAGAGACCCGAGCGGTGATCCAGTGGCTCCTATTCTGCCCGAGGCTGTACTGCCAGGCTGTGCTTCCTTCCAGTCTGGAGTGGGTCTGTTTACTCACGTAGAGCTCTATGGGGTCTGTTTTCTCAATCTGGGTCTGAATCAACCATTTTCCAGTTTCCTTGACCTGGTTTATTTCCATTTATGTTAAAGGGAGTTCTAAATAAACAGCCACTGAGAAATTAAATTAGAAAAATAATGCATTCCTAAAGTCTGATCTATTATTAGCCTGATGTTATTAGTCAAGTGTCCTTTGCTGTTACTTATTGTTTGCAGAGTTTATATTGATCAAGTGCTCCGTATAATCCTGCCAGACACCCCCTTTGACATCAGCACTTTCACACTGCAGGGCTGTGTTTTAGGTATGTCACAGCATCTTAAAACATTTTTGCCATTTTATAATATCAATCAGTNTAAAACATTTTTGCCATTTTATGATATCAATCAGTGAACTTTCGATGATTTGTCAGTAGACTGATACTTCCAAGCAAGTGTATCAGACGAGTTCTCTGGATACTTGATATGTATTTCTATTTATTTATTTATTTTGATAGCTGTGTTAGTTGCTCAGTCATATCCGACTCTTTGCAACCCGATGGACTGTAGCTCACCAGGCCCCTCTGTCCATGGAATTTTCTAGGCAAGAATACTGAACTGGGTTGCCATTGCCTTCTCCAGGGGATCTTCCAGATCCAGGGACTAAACCCAGCTCTCTTGCATTGCAGACAGATCCTTTATCCTTTGAGCTACTTTGCTTGATAGCGCAATTAAAAATCCTTGAGCACATTGTCTTTTGATATCATGACTCTATTGTAGGCCTTCATGTGAGGAATGTTCTACCCAAAACATTGAGTTTGCTTTCTATAATATGGGGGAGAGGGAAAGAGAGAGATTATATATAACTAGAATTCTGAACATGGGAAAGTGCCAGGACTGGACAAAGGTGAGAAAGCCAGGGCTGTGCTGGGCTTTAGGTCTAACGAGGCAGCCGCCCCAGCTCCTCAGCAGGGAAGCCCCTGCCCTCACACGTCGCCCTCGGCGCCCTGAGCAGCCTGAGCTCCCACGCCCGCCGTCACAGCTGCCCTCCTGACTGCGCTCTCAGGGGCAACTGCCCACCCTTTGTACGTGAGATGCCACCTTCTGGTCTCAAGGTTTGGATGTTGTTTTCTGTTTTTAAAGTCTAACTTTTCGTACAATATGCGGAAAGCATATTCCTAAAAATTAAAGTTATGTGCCCCAGAGAATGGGCATTTTGTTTTTTTAGTGT